TCTCTGAGAAGGTGACGTTTGAGCTAAGACCTGAGGGAGGAGTCAGCCTCTTGAAGTGCTGGATGAGGAGCTGGAAAGACATAATTCTCCAGGAATAGAAAGTGTAAAGGCCTCGAGAAGGGAATGAGCTTGGTGCATTTGAGGAACTGAACGCAGGCCGGGGGGCTGCAGCATGCCAATGGGGCCGCAGGCGGGGTCAGGCAGGGCCTATTTCTTGTGTGTCTGGATGGGGTCCACTGTACCACTACCACACCCTTATCTCAGTGACAGAGGCTCCTGTCTAAATATGCTGTAGAAGTTCACAGGAAAGTAGAGGGGCACTTGCTTGGAGAGAGATGTCTGGGTGTTTCCCCAGAGACACCCAAGTGACAGGCTTACCCTAGCAAATTCACCAGGGCGCTCCTTTTTGCAGGCTACAAAAAGAAAAGAAAAAAGAATTACTCCATCTTCAGGGGCTGACATACTTTCAGCAAGCTTGTGAGCTTCTGGCATACATCCAGCATGCTAGAGGATTAGTTTACAGTGAGACTCTCACTGCCAGGGCGCCCAACACATGCACACTCCCACCAGCACATGTCCATCTGCAGATGCTCCTTGCGGGAAGACATGTTCTCATCGAATTCTCAGGACTGGAATATGGGGATGAGGACACCTTAGAGTTGTACCTGAGTGCCACCGAGAAGAGCAAGGTGCTGTCTCCCATCTGGAGAGGGCTTCCCGGGCACTGCAGGGGCACTCTCTCCTCTCTCTCTGTGGCTGACCCTACTGCTTCAACAGGCCATTTTTCAGATGGCTTTGCATACCTATGCTCTGATGTTTCCCCAACTCTTCTGAAGTAAAGAATCACCAGAGGCTCTTGATAAAGATACAGACTTCTAGGGCCACCTCCAGAAGATTCTATTTATAAGATTTTGGTGAGGCATGCAAAGATGGGTGGCTTCTACCAGCAGCCCAAGAGATTCTTATCAAAAGTGTTTAGGAAATGATACATTGAGGCTCTTCAGAGTTTTCTAATTCAATGTTTTGCAAACTGGCCCAATCACAAAATAACCTAGACCATTTTCAAAATATACAGATTCTCAAGCCTCAGCCCCAGTGAATTGAAATTACTGGGCAAGGGCAGAATCTGTATGTTTACTAAATAGTCCAGGTGTGTCTTGTGACAGGGGACGTTCACCTGGGTCCTTTAAGATTCTGCTTCACTACCTCTACAGAGGAACTCAGGGATCTGCATTTTTTTGGTGTGTGTGTGAGGAAGATCAGCCCTGAGCTAACATCTGCCAATCCTCCTCTTTTTTTGCTGAGGAAGACTGGCCCTGGGCTAACATCCGTGCCTCATCTTCCTCCACTTTATATGGGACGCCGCCACAGCATGGCTTGCCAAGGGGTGCATCAGTGCGCACCCGGGATCCGAACCGGCGAACCCTGGGCCACCACAGCGGAACGCGCGCACTTAACTACTTGCACCACTGCGCTGGCCCTAGGGATCTGCGTTTTTAAATAAGCCCCCAGGTGATTCTGATGCTCAAGGTTCATGAACCCCACTTTGAGAAACATTAAAGTTTGATATTATTGCAATTCACACCTTTGTTCTTAATGCCAAAGCATTGACAGCATTTACAAATGAACTTGCACATCTCCTTGCCTTTCAAACGCTGTTCACAAATCCCATTTCTGTGTTTTAAAAGTTTTCTACTTAACTTTGTTTTTCAGCTTTTTATTAAACATACAGAAAATCTGAAAGGACAGTTCAGTGTACACTCATTATACTCACCACCTGATTCCTCATCTCCCCCGTCTGCTTCATCTATGTGTCTACGCACGTGTTTTGTGCTGAAGGATTTCAAAGGACGTGCAGACGTCTTGATCTCTCATCCAGACACCTCAGCGTGAACATCCTTGAAAAACAACAAAAAAGGATTCTCCTTCCTAACCACAATACCATGATCACATCTAATGAAACTAATAATAGTCGCCTGATATCAGCTAATTCCCAGCCTATGTTCAAAATTTCCCCAATTGTCCCTCAAACGTCTTTTTTGGCTCTTTTTTTTTCAAACCTGGATACAATGGAGGATAACACGTTGTGTATGGTTATGTGCCTTTCGTCTCTTTTAATCTAGAACAGTCTTCCCACCATTTTTTCCAGGCCAGCTGTCTTGGAGAATGTCTCTCTTTCTGGATTTGTCAATTGTTTCCTCATGTGTTGTACTGAACATTCAAACAAACAAACATTCCCATACAAATATATGTATATCTGTATTTATAGTATATTTATAGTGAGACACAGGTTTGCTCTCTCCCACCCCACCTAGCCTCTTTTTCCCTCTCAAACAATCATAGTTAATAGTCGCATTTATTGAACACTTAGACTATATGCCTGGCACTGCTTTAAGAAATTTGAATGTATTAACTTATTTACTTCTCACAACAGCAATGAGGTATGTTCATTACCGATGACACTGAGGCACAGAGTGGGAAGTGACCTGTAAAAGGTCAAAGGGTGGCTAAGGGATGGGCTGGGTTCCAAGACTAGGATTCTTGCTCTGGAGTTGGCTTTCTTAACCACAAAAATGGAATCAGAGCATAGACGTTATTCTACGACTTTTAAAAAAAAACTTATTTCTAGGCCACTACATATAAATTTGACCCATCCTTTTTATCCTCAACAATTTATTATAAACATCAACGCACAGAAAAGTTGGAAGAATTGAATGGTGAACACCTATATACTCACCATCTAGATTCTACAATTAGCATTTTGCCATATTTGTGTTGTCACCTATTGCTTTACCTATGTATCCCTCTATCCATCCATCAGTCTATCATATTTCTGATGCGTTTTTTCCAAGTATAACTCATATTTAAAAATAGATGTATAAGATTTATAGTATGGAGGTTTGATAATTTATTCACCCATTCCTGTACAGATGAGTATTCTAGTGTTTTGCTATTACAAACAACACTGAAAGTAACATTCTTGTATTTATACTTGTATTTTAGTAAACTTTATAGTAATGATGCTTTTACTTTAGTAGGATAGGTTCCTAAAAATGGGATTACCAGCTTAAGGATATGACTAATTTAACAGATACAGTTGGATCTCTTTCCACTAGCATACTGGCACTAGTCAAGTCTGGGAAGGCCTGCATTTCTTCTCCTTGTTTTATCTTATCACTGCTAGGAGAAAGATGGACTGAAAAGACACAAACATGGAGTTCTCAGGATGCTTTATTGATACAAGCAACATCTATACCTCCTGGCCCCCAGTGAATGCCATCTATCAGTGTTTAAAATTTTGCTCATCTCTGTTGAAACTATTCGTCTCATGAGCACCAACTCAAAAGGTACCAGATGCATAGTGTCTTTCCGAACTTTCTGGCAGAATTTCTGCCTCTTCTGTTCTCTCTCTACACTGTGTGTGGCCTCCCCCTAGACCCACCACGTATTGTACCTTTTAGGGAAGTGTGTGTCCCACCAGCATACGTCACATTCTCTACCACAGGTTGAAGAGACCATGCTTCCTCTTCTACCTTTGTATCCTCTGTTTGCCTAGCACAGTGATTTATACTCAGTAAATACTTCTTCTTGAATGATTTAGTGAATGAAATGTGGGAGAGAAGTCCAGAGCAGCAGATAGTGGCCAAATGCTGGAGTTTTTGTATTTCAGGCCAAAGAGCCTGGAATGTATATACAGTGTTGGTTCAGAAAGCACAGAAAGTGTCTGAGCTGTGGAGAGGAAAGACTAACACTGAAGCGGGGAGATGCAGTAATGAGGCTAGCACAAGACCCAGGGAGGAAGCAAAACAGAGGCAGAAGCAGTTCTTGGGTGTTGAAGTCCTAAGTTTTACAGTGTAGTTTCTTTAGCATACTTTCTAAATTTGGTTTTAGTCAGTGGTTCTGAGCTCATGCAGTGTTTTGTTTTAACTTTTTTACTTATGATAGAAAAACTAGAAAATATAGAGAAACAAAATAATAATTACTGAGGATTATTATCTTCTACCATACAGGGAAAATCATTGGTAGTTAGCATTTTGATGTAAATATTTTTACACCTTTTCCTATGCACATATATAATAAAATCTATATTTTAATATCTAATGGATATATGAAATTTTATTTATAAATTTATTTATATATTAAATCTAACTGTATATTAAATTTTCCTTATAAATTAAATATATTATATCGACATATCAAATATATGGGCTTTTACGTTAGATAGGAAACACCATCTGTCTTCAACATTGTATCTTGAGGACTTGACACAGAAAAAATGCTCAAAATATGTTTATTGAATGATTGAATGATGATAATTATTCATTCTCATTTACCTTTAAATTTTACTAATTCATACAGCACATAATTAAAGATAACCTAATGTTTCTATATTCAATGCACTTCTTTTTCTTGTTTTCTTACTACTGCTAGAAGAAATATGAATTTAAAATACACAGACACGGGCTCCTTGAGATGCATTATTGATACAAACAATACCTACACATCTTCTTAAGCAGTGATTTATAAACATGACACTGATTTATCTGGAATTAGTCATCTTTGAAACATTTGAGTTATTTGACCAAAAGTATTATTCACTGAGCAAACACCAATTTCTTCCCTTCCAAGATTCTAGGGAAGAGAAAAGCAAAATAATGTTGAGAATGTTAATTGGTTTGATAATCTGATTGGTCTTTTATTCATACAGGAATCTTTCGGTGGGGACACCATTGTGGGCTCAGTACCTACACTGGGTGTCCTCGCTGCCTAACCGGGTGCCTGGCACCAATGAGGTGAACAATAGGTATTTTTCAAATGAGTAAATAGGATTATCGTGAACATAGACATATTAATAATCTCCTTTATCTCATTTATTTATTCTTTTCCAAGTGATGTGGATATTTAGTACTTGTTAGCCACTTCTTAATTATCCATAAAAACTGGGTACAGGTTCACAGAAGAAATCCACATTTAATACAAAAACATATATTTAGCTGATAGTATTACTTTCCCTCCTTCAGAGTCCCGACTTCACTCTCTGTGAGGAACCGTGAAGCAGCCTCCCACCGGATTTTACCTCCACTCCCTTTCCCACTCGAGAAAAGCCTAGACGCAAGGGAAATCACGAGTATTGTGAACCCACAAGAACCAGGGGAACTGGTCACTCATGTCATGCTCATCATTGTATTTCTCAAAAATAGCTCAAAAATTAGCTAAATCAAGACCTTTTCCTAGGTCAAGCGCTGCTGTAAGGACTACACTCTTCCAGTAGGTGGCGGTATTTTCTTTCTTCAGCGTAAGGAGAATTCTCGAAGATTTGCCTCCAGAATTGTTTAGTTTTACTATTCGTTTAGTAAAGTGCAGGTGACAATAAATTAGTTAATGAAACTGATCTTTCTTTCACTTTCTTAAAAAAAAAATCACTCTTGGGGGCTTCCAAAAGCCGCAGATCGGGAACTTCTACTTTGGCTGCAGTTGATAGCTGGCAATACATGAGGAAGACGTGCCCTAACCCTCCGCCCCATTTCCTGATCAAAGTTGTTACTAAGGTCAAGCTAATGGCTAGCAACGTCTTGAAGAAAATGTCATGCTTTTCTGTCTCTATAAAAATAAAACAAAACAAAAATAAAACGCTGACTCTAAAATTCTTGCTTTTAGGGCAAAATATTCATTAAATTATGCAGATACCTTTCGTGGCTGGTTAATAATGAACTTTTAAAAAATTGTTCACACACCTTATTTTAATGGTAACACCTAAATGTTTGCAGCTCCACGAGACCTTTCAATTCCCCAACAGATGGCTAGGTGCTGTCACATGTCTGACGCCAACTTAACGCTGCAGAAGCTAGGTTTGAGGAAGGAAGCAAGGATTGAAATTCCAGGGACATATGCTGGAGTTGAAAGACGGAAGTGTTAATTAGTGGAATAATATCTCACATACTTTATCTTCAAAAATACTGCCTTAGCCAGAGTAGGGAAAGCTGGGTCTGAGGCATGCGTTTCACCCATTTTTCAGAAGTACTTGTGTAAACAAAGCCTCGAGCTGCTGGAGAAAATGTTCCAGGGCTCAGTGTTTTCATTAAAAACACGGAGATAGCCTAGATTTGGTCAAGCCCACCTGTGAATAGTCAACTAATATTAGAAGGTACACTGATTTTGAGGTTTTAAGGCATTTTTAACCAATCCTCTACTTTCGAGACTAGCCGGGGCACTTTCCCAGCCCACCTCGTGCCGCTCCGCTGCGGCGCCGCACCCTCCTCTCCTCTCCTCTCCCGCGCCGCGGGCACCTCTGCAGGTCCTGCCCCGCCTGGCCTCGCGCAGCTCCAGGTCCAGGTCCAGGTCCAGGCTGCCCGGCCCGGCGCTCAGACGCGCCGACAGGTGGCCTCGCCCGCCTCCCCGCTGCAGGGCGGCGCTCGCCTCCGCTCCAGGCCGAGCCGCAGGCCGCGCGCCAGGCATAGCTCCCATGCTGGCCCCCGAAGTCAGGCGGCTTCCCCGGGGAGAGCGAGGCCGGAGAGGGGCGCGGGGCCGGCGGGAGGCCGCCGACAGGAGCAAAGGGCGTCCAAAGCCCGACCCAGGCGAGGGGTGATCGGGCCGGGGACTTCTCGCGCTCTTCGGACCAGGGCCGCCCGGAGCCCGCCGCCCAGGGACGTCCAGCTCTGCGCACCGCCCCTCGGCCTCCTCCGCCCTTCGCGTCCATGAACCCCGGAACGCCCCCAGCGGCAGTGACCCCAGGTCTCCGGCAGCAGCAGCCCAAGCCGCTCTGCCACCCCCGGGCCCCAATACGGCCGAGGGGTCACCTCAGTCGGCGAACCACTTTCCCAAGGGCGCGCAGCCGTGGCAGCACCACCCCGCTCCAGCGCCCTCGAGGTCCCTCCTGCCTGCGCTTCGGCGCTCGAGCACTCCGGCCCCTCCAGGACACGCAGGCGGCAGCGGGGAGGAACTCACTCGGACCCCTCCCCTTCCCCAAACTTCTTGCCTCCGCCGGGAGGTTCCTCCAACCCGACAGACCCCACCGCGCCATCTGGCTCCTCCCTCTCCGCTCCCCTCCCCTTTTCTGGTCCCCACTTAGGAATCCGCTCCCCCCACCCCCGCCGCAGCCGGGTCCGGGGATCCTCCCCCGACTCCCCCTGCGTGCCGCCGCCGCCGCCCGGGTTCCTCTCCCCCCGCTCGGGCGCTCCCTGCCAAGCCCATGATGTAATGGTGTATGTTAATCAGTAGCATGTGGGGAGCTCCGGCTTGGGCGGCTCAGTCCTCCGCGAGCCGACACTGGAGGCGGCAGCAGCGGCGGCGGCTGCCCGGACCCGCAGCGCCGCGCTCTCTCCGCGCCGCC